AGTGGTATACACTGGCTTTGGTCAGAATTAGTAACACAGAGCTTCCATATAACCTTCCATATTCCATATAATCTCCCAACGGGCCCAAGGAAGAGAAGACTGGGTTGGTGAGCATCTAGCCAGGCTCTCCCACACATAAACTAGGAAAACACTAACATTCTTTTTTTTTTTTACTTTTATAAAATACTTTAAAATTTATGCTGCATACCTATGGAGAACCATGACAGAAATTAAGTAGAATGATGGGATTGTACATGGCCGGAGGAGTAGGAGTGAAATATTAGCTACATTTTTCAACAGCTGCTTCTCTGAGTAGGTGATATTTGAGCTGAGATATTAGAGATGAGAAAGCCAGACATGCAAAAATTAGAGATGCAACAACACAAGCAGAAAGAAGAGCTAGTATAAAAGCCCTGGGAAAGTATAAACTGTGGTATGTTTGCAAATAGTAGTGAGAAGACTGAAGTAGCTGAGGGTACTGGGGAGGGGATGTGAGGGAGCGCATGGCCCAAGAGGCAAGTAGGAGACAACTTGTAGAGCCTGATATGCCACAGTAGCAAGTTTACACTGTAAAACAAGGGGAAGACATTATTGTATTTAAAGAAGGGAATTTTGTGATCTGATTTATATTTTTAAAAGATCTGTCTGCTTACTGTGAAGTGAGTGAATTATTATAAGGTAAGGCAGGGTGAATTAGTAGGCTTTTTGCAATAGCACAGACTTGGAAAAATGTAAATGTATTCTGGAGGAAGCACCTATCAGACTCACTGGTAGAGCTAATGGTGGGAACCGAAGGGTGAGAGAATGAGCAATCCCAATGACTCCTAGGCCTTTAGCTTGAGTAAATTCACATACGTTCACATTTTGCTTTTACAAAAATAAGGAAGGTCAGAAGGCCATGTTTTCTGGCAGGAAAAAAAGAGATTTCTTTCTGGGCGTGACAATTTGGAAAAATCTATTAGATACCCAAGCTCAGGAGAGAAGTCAATGGTAGAGATATCAGCATGGGAATTATCAACACATGGAGAGTATTTACAGCCTGAGGATGGGAGAGGCCACCTGGAGAAGTGTATTAGTGAGAAGAAGAAGCTGTGCGCTGAGCCAGGGAGGAGTTGGGGAGGTGGAGTCTATCAACCAGAACTCTGGCAGAAGAGAACAGCCTCCTGAAGACGCTGAGCAGGACAGCTTGGGACTCAGCAGGAAAACCAGGGCCATAGAAATAATGAGAGTCAGGAGAGTAAAAGCAGGCGTGGCAGGTTGTAGTGACCGAATCTGAGAGGTAAAGAAGATGAGAACAGGTAAGTGGCACTGGCGGTGGGCACCACCGCTCAAAGGAGCAAATGACTGACAAAAGTAGTTTCAGAGGAGAGGAAAGAAAGGAAACTGAAGGGGAGAATACAGAAAGAACAAGTAGAGGCTGTTAGTTCCATCAGCACTTCTGCCAACCATTTTGATGAAAATGAGCCAGAGCAGCTTCTGAGGAAAGAGCATAGGTGCAGAAGGGGGTTGTCAGGTCAAGGGAAAAAAAAAAAAGTGTTTTTAACTAATGGGAGTTACTTAAGGATATTTTCTAGGTTGATAGGAATTATCCTGTGAGAGTAGAAAAAAGACATCTACCTAAATCACCACTTAAAAACTCTTAACTAATCTGATTTAAAATCCTGGTTCTTCAACCTATGAAATTGCACTCTATAAAAATGCAAATTAGTAAGACATTAAGAATCTTTAAATTATCTGGAATTAATATGCATTTATTTTATTTTGACCTTGTTAGAAAAACATAGTAAAAATAAATTTTAATAAATCTTGTTTTTCCAGGGAAAGAACATATAATTAACAAATTCCGCACTTAAGCACAATCTAATTATTTTGATATTTAAGTTTAAAGCAATTATCAGGGGGAAAATGATATTGATCAAACTCATAGGTTATATAGTTGTATGTTACTGGCAAACTTGTATGCCTTATTGTGAATACAGACACTATTTCCTCAGCATTTTTCTTTAAAATAATGCATGGCTTCTTCACTGTCTAGAGGTTTGCTTTTGGGTTAACCAGACCCGATACAAATTCTTTCTCTGTGATTCTCAAGATCTCTGAGCTGTGTATGTGTGTGAGAGAGAGAGAAATAGGGAAGATAATAAATTCCCTATAGAAACATAAAGGTCAAACATAGCGTGTATAAAGCAAAGCAGCTGAATCCTGGCATTTATAGATGCTTATTGTTATTACTGATATTCTTTTATTATTTATTATTATTATTATTATTATTATTATTTATTATTTTGATAAAGTTAAGGAACCTATACACCACAGAGGGAGAGCTTAATTTCCATTGATGGTAACTGACAAACAAAAATAAATAAACAGAAATTTATAAAACAAAAGTCTTTTCCTTATTCCTTAAAGAAATATATATATGAGTCAATAAACATTATATTAAAGAATCATAAAGTACAAAACCTTTGGGTGTGTATGTGGGGTCAGGGAGAGAGTGATTTGGTTTTAAAATTAAGAATAGAGAATATTAAATTATTTGAGCAACACAGAAAACTTACAATTTAATTTTATACTATGGTGAGTTAAGGGTTGGTGGTATAGAATGAGAATACAGAGAAAGAGGTAGAGTAAAATAAGTGGGGAGAGAAATAAGCGTGTGACAATGAAGAAATGGTGGTATGAAGAAGTAGCAACCAAGACAAACTGGAAATGAGTAAGACAGGCAACAAAAGGCTCAGGTAAATGAGTTGTCCCAAAGTCACAGCTTAATCTTCCTTTGAGGCATGTTACTCTAGAAAATTAGTGATTATTCTCTCTATTAGTGATTGATTGTTTTTTGTTTTGTTTTTGTTTTTTGTTTTTGCTTTTGTTTTAACTGCCTAACTTATAATGTTAGAATCTTCTTTCCTAATGAGCTAACTAGTGAAGATGGTGACAGAGAAATTATTCCCTGGGTTGCAGTAGTAGTTACCAGGGCAGCTGTTTTTCCAAAGGCTGGAAATAAATCAAGTTGAAATCCAGATTTTGTCTTTTACTAAAAGTTAAATATTTACCTCATTATCTTCTCTTCATTTTCATTTAATCGAAACTTTTCCCTTAACCTCCACTTAATGGTTGGATTGACCAGCATTTCTCATTTTCTCTGTAAACTATGCTAGTTGTGTTCACTGTGCCTCAACTACTCAGAGCTCTCAGACCACACCCAAGCAGACCAGCACAGGATACTCCCACCAGCTAACAGCCATGATTACAAAGAGTTCAAAGGAGTATTTTACTAACCCTCCTTATAAGTCAGTTGTGTTTGCTATGGTAAATGTAATTAAAAGACTAATCAAGGTGATGAAATATGAATGTGATAAATATGCTGTCAATGAAAATTAAATTAATACTATGGAAAGGTAAGATGATCATCTTCTGAGTGTCTGAAGTTCTTGTTTCAGATTAAGGAAATAACAAAATTGAAACTGTAAGTGATACATTATTGGTATAGCTTATGGAAGAGTGTAAAATTCCAATCAACAGTCAATCAAAGAAAAAGTCATGGCCTTCTTGTTTTCACTCTTATGTGGATCATGAGAAACTTAACAGAAACCCATGGGGGAGGGGAAGGAAAAAAAAAAAAGAGAGAGAGAGGTTAGAGTGGGAGAGAGCCAAAGCATAAGCGACTCAAAAAATGAGAACAAACTGAGGGCTGATGGAGGGTGGGAGGGAGGGGAGGTTAGGTGATGGGTATTGAAGAGGGCATCTTTTGGGATGAGCACTGGGTGTGGTATGGAAACCAATTTGACAATAAATTTCATAAATTAAAAAAAAAAGAAAAAGTCATGGCCTTACATCAAAAGACTGGCATGTGAATGCAAATGCACTATTTTAAGACAAAATACAATACATACTTCATGTTGAATGTATCTTTTTTATGGCTCCCTTACAAACAGACCTTTTCAGTTCAGTAACTTACTGGTTTTGGTCAGGGTAGATAAGATCATATCTGCTGTGCCCTTAAGATATCAAAGATAATAAATATTCTTGCTACATGGAAGTAATCAAACAAGTAGGGTTTAGAAAATAAATAACATATCCAGTCAGTGGGAGCAGAGAAAAGTTTGCAAATGAAAAAAAAAAAAAAAAAAAGTACTCACCACAGGTAAATGCATGTAAGTTATTGGAGTTGGTTAACATCTTATTTTGAGACATTTTTCCTCATTAAATATAACAGGAACAATTATATAATGTTTGCCATACATTTTTTACAAGCCTAAAATTTCCTGAAGATTGATGACATAAATTTAGCAATATATGAACAAATGTAACAAAAGAATATTACTTACCTAAACCATAATCCAAGTGATATATCCATGATCACATCCTAAAAGCTTACCACTTACTAAACTTTTAATAACCACAGAACTATATCATAGAACGTATATATATGCAGATTGCCCATGTTAATATTTATCTTGAAAACTGAATACCAGTGTAAAATTTTAAGATATAAAATAGGTATGAATATAAATATGCAGATTCAGAAAAGAATGCATTTAATAAATACCAAGTAATAAGTTTTGTCTTTCAACTGATAGGATTGTGGTTCACAAAACTAGTCCTCAAAACAAAATAAACGATTTGTTAATGAGGAAAAAACATACATTGATAATAAGTAAATAATCAAATGAAATCCTTAGTTGCTGAGATCCCATATTTAGAAGAAATCCTACAAACATCTCTAGAAATTAGTTGTGCTTTCTTTTAACCCTGAACTACAACCTTTACAATAAACATACACAATAGTGCACTTAGTCTGTACTGCCACCAAGTGCCTAAAGCAATTAGTTTTAAGTTTCTTGCAGCAGCTATAAGCAGATTCTTTTGCTGTTATGAGTAGCAATTTGGAAACGGGCTAAGAGCAAATCACTTCAACCATGAATGGCTATAAGAGCCACACAATTTAGACATGACAACAAAATCTCAAAGGCATTAATAAAAAACATCAAGAATCCTACCAGCTCACTGGAAGTTCATGAAGTCTAAAAATGTTATTCAGCTTGTAGTCAACTTTTGCTGGACAAATATTTTCTTTATATAAATACAGGTTTGGATTTGGTTGCATATCTGTGGGAAATTCTGAATCCTAGATAAAAAAGAAAAAGCAAGAGCTATGTGCAAAATAGGCATATCACTGTACACACTGATACAGTCTTATTTATAATTCTATCTTATTTAATATTAAATTATAACAAATATTACCAGTATATTCCCTCAGGACTTACCATAAGTCCTTAATTTCCTATTTTAGTTTGAGAAAACATGCAAAAAAGATAAAATGTTAAATAAGGCACATATCTATTTATATAAGTTTAAACTGCATGCTACATGGTAAAAATTATTTTAAAACACACCACTATTAAATTACAGTGAAGCACAATATAGCACTTTCTTATATTATTGGTCAACTGTCCTTTTTCAGAAAGTTTCCATCCCCAGCAGTAATGTCAGCAAAATCTGTGATTATTCTTATACTCCTTTTGTCCTCCATAAATGGTAAACCAAAAACATTTTTAATTGGGAAACAAAGTAATTATGTATGTTATTTGATTAATCATGGTATTCTTCTTTAAACCTGAGGACGCAGGGCTAATTTAAAGGCACTTACTAAAAGTAAAAGATTTCTGTCTTAATCACTTTAAATCTCACATACATTAGAATCCACATCTGCCAAGCAAATTGTAACTGGAGATCAAAGATGATTTTTAGTCCATGAGAAAGTAAGCTCCCCTCAGCAGAAGGAGGATATACTATGAACAGGCACTTTTTATTTTAATTTGTTTAGTTTTTTTTTATTTTTGAGAGAGAGGGAGACACAGAATCCCAAAGCAGGCTCCAGACTCTGAGCTGTCAGCACAAAGCCCAACACGAGGCTTGAAGTCATGAACCATGAGATCATGACTTGAGCCAAACTCGGACGCTTAACCGACTAAGTCACTCAGGCACCCCAGCACAGGCACTTAATTAACATGGATGCATTAATTGCTCAATTCCACAGGAAAAAAAGGAAGTAATCAATCCACTTACACTTAATGCTTTAAAATTACCTTTAGAGAGGGAGGTATATCATTTGTGTACTCATTCATTTATTCCAAAAATATCTGTCAGTGCTACTTTAGGCATAAAGCAGGCATACTTAGGCATAAGGAATCCACTAATGAACAAAGATAAAAAGTCTTGCCCTTGTGGAGGTTACATTGGAGTTGGAAAATGATAAAAACCAATTTTCATAAAGAAGAATTTTTCTGATAAACAAAATAATATACATTCACATAGAAATATCATGCATTCAGGGGCTGGGTGGCTCAGTCAGTTATGTGTCCAACTCTTGATTTCATCTTAGGTCATAATCTCATGGTTCTTGAGATCAAGCCCTGTGTTGGGCACTGTGCTAATAGTGCGGAGTCTGCTTGGGATTGTTTTTCTGCTACTACTCTCCGGCTCACGCATGTGCAGTCTCTCTCAAAATAAATGAATAAACTAAAAAAAAGAAAAGAAAAGAAGTATCATGCATTCCATATACTACCAAGAAAAAAGGAAAGGATATCTTATTCTCACCATACAAATATAATTGCTATTAGCACTTTGATGTAATAATTTGCCTCTAATTTTTTACAAAATTGAGACCATGCTCTATTATCCACCCTCCATTTTTCATTTAACATTATACCACTGCATTTTCTAGTCTATTCTGAAAGTACCATATTGTTTTTAACATTTAGCTATTTTTATTTTCCTTACATTATCAGTGCCATGAACAGCTTTCTGTCTATAAATCTGCATTTCACTGATTATATCCTTAAAGTGTAAATAAATAATTCAAATAAAATAGGGGCGCCTGGGTGGCTCAGTCGGTTGAGCGACCAACTTCGGCTCAGGTCATGATCTCACGGTTTGTGAGTTTGAGCCCTGCGTCAGGCTCTGTGCTGACAGCTCAGAGCCTGGAGCCTGCTTCTGATTCTGCGTCTCCCTCTCTCTCTGACCCTCCCCCACTTGTGCTCTGTCTCTCTCTGCCTCAGAAATAAACATTAAAATTTTTTTTTTAATTGTAAAATAAAATAAAATAAATACTTAACAAAAAACATGATACCTCTTCATAGACTGCTTTTCAGAAAGGTTATGTGAATGTATATGCTGCCTGTCATATAATACTGTGTGCAATTCACCGCAACTTTGTTAATGCTATATACACATATATACACATACTTCCTCATGTTTAAAATAATACATTCTGTAAGATACTTCTTTGACTAATATTTATCATTGAGCATCTATTACATGACAGGCACTAGTTTTAGCTCTTATGTCATTGGACAAAATAGACAAAACCCCCTTCCTTGTGGAGATTACACTCTAGTGTGAGGACACCAAATAATAAACATGTAAACTATATTATATCTATATGCTAAAAAGTCTAAGGGAAAATTGTTGTTAATTCATATTTAAAAAAACTATTTTATTGACATTTCTTAATTGATTAGGTTTAAGTTTTGGGTTTCTTATTTCTTGCTTTACTTCTTTTTTTTCTGAACTGTATGTTTATGCCTTTTGCCCATTTTTCTATTGTTATGATAATTCATTTTAATAATGTTGCTTGGGTTTGAAATGGAGGCAGGATAAATTATTATGCTATAAAATATGGCAAAGTGAATCAGAATCCAGTCTTATATAATTTTTTGACTCCATGGAAAATCTAGAACCATAAACTTATTATCTGCAGCAATTTTTACAAGCAATCATTATTTTTAAACCAATCATTATATAAAACTAATACAATGAGACATTTAATAAAACCTAATCAACTAGGCTTAATAAAAACCAAATCAGCTACATCCTATTTGGTGTAGCCGAAAAGAATACCTGAACAAGTATTTAAAAGAAAATTTATAAGAGTAGCAAAGGCCTAGAAACAGCAATCCTATCTAAACATAAATGCACTTGCAGAGGCAAAATGTAAGAACCCTTCTATTGCCCAGCATGTAAACCGAAATATTCCAGGAAACAAAAGCAAATAAAAAGTCAGGCAGGACCAGTGAAGCAAATGCAGGATTCATAAATAAGGACTATGCATAGAGAACAGAGGGAATAAAATAAATTTTAAAACTGTTCTTTCAAATGACATAACCATTATTATTTCTTTGTATTGACAAAGTACAACTGCAGGGCACAGCTAAGTTCTCAATAATATACTTTGATAGGTCAGCAGTTCTTTTACTCTGCCCACCCTTTGAAATCATCAGGCAGTTTTTTAAAAATACAAATTCTACTGGATCCCACCCCAGACCAATTAAGTAATAATTTCCAAAGGTAAGGCTCTGACATTGGTATTTAATTTAAATTTCCCCATGTGAAATAAAAGTCAGGATTGAAAATCCTGGCTTTCCCTAGTGATTCAGTTCCACTACATACTAGCATGAGAATTTAGTCAAGCTATTTAACAAACTTTTTAGGATGCATTTTTCCATTGGTAAACTACAATCAAAATTACACCCGATTAATAGGCTGCTGTGAGTAGTAAGTGAGATAATCTCTGTAAAGCAGTAATCACATGCTTGGTACCTAATAAATCCTTAATAATAATTAGCTATTTCTGTGGATATTTATATTGCTGCAATTAGTGGCACATTTTAATTTCAACTGCTTAGTAATTTCATTATGAATTATGTCATACTCTATTTATAATAAAATATTTTATATTACTCAAATTTCAGGTTTAATATTCTCCTGGGATATAGATTGAAATAGATAGTAATATGATCTCACCTGTCAGAATCCTAGTCCTATATCTAGTTAACTGTTGGTTACCTCTATTTGTCCCAGCTTCAATAATAAAAGGAATTCTTGCTTCACTGGCCAGCCAGTCGGAATCAAATACAGTCTTGCTCCTTATATTCAAAGGATGAAAAACCTGATGGGTAACTGTGGGGAAATGGGTTCTACATACATAAATGGATTAGAAAAAAATCTTAGGGCAGAAAGTCGCCACCACAGGCGAAAGTGCCCGAGGTTAGCTAGCGAGATACTGTAACAGGATCACGAGTAAATTGTTAGATAACCTGAAGGAAATTACTTTCCATCTGATGCCAATACACTCCACTTGCCCCCAGACCCTTTGCTTCTTATACACACAGGTTAATGATTAGTGTCTGATTGTTTTCTCCACGTTCACATGTGTAAGATCTTATTTTCTTCACGTTCACTAGTGGGTAATATCTTCTGTTTTCTTCATGTTCATCACGTGGGTAATATCTTGTGAGCTCAATAAATATAGAGACAAAACCGCTGTTTGGGGCTTTTGTCTCCTCCTATACATTAGCCTCTCTTGTATTCAATTCTGCATCTGCTCTCTTGCTTGAAAAGAAGAAACTCCAGACTCAGAGTCTTCAACAGGTAACTCTTCCTCTGTTTTGGTGATGTATCAATTAGGCATCCCCTGTATCTATCCTTATTAGGAAGCCAAACTATCTATTTGGCCTCATATCAGAGTGTCTTAGGTACTTAGGCTTTTTCCAGGTCCTGTATCTATGCCATTTAACTCATGTCTGCTTCTCTATCTTGTTCTTTGCTTTCCTTTGACCTGACATTCAAGGGAATTACTCAGACCAATTTTGAACCTGAAGTTCAAGATTATTCACTCAAGCATTCACTCAACATTTGAATGTTTATTCTGTATGGTACTATGTTACTTACCTTACTTAACAGTAAGGTACCTTACTTAACAGGTACTATGTTAATTACCATACCAAAAAACAAGTGGAAGACTCTCCTTCCATTGAAGGATTCACAGTCTCATGAAGGAACAGAATAAATGAAAAACTACATCATTGAGAAAACCTAGAGTAGAAACATGCAGAAGATATTAAGGTGAAAAAATAAGGCGTAAATCTATTGGAATGAAGTAGATATACAATTGGGCAAATTGGAAATATCTACTGAAATAAAAACTGACTTGTTTTTTCTAGTGGTTCCACTGCTAGGCATTGGCCTTATGGATATTTTCACAAAGGTTTCCCAAATTACATATGCAAGTTTTCTATTTTTTTAATTTAATTTTGTGGTTTCTGTTTTGTTTTCTAATCTGTAGTA